GTTTCTATTTTTCGTCTTTTATTGAATTTTTTGGGTTTAGGTTGTGCAAAATGCTCAGGATTATAATTTTTAATTCTATTTTGTAACAAGTTAGCTGTGGATATAATTTGACATGTTAGCCATTTGGATTTGTCTGACAACTATTCTGATTTATGAGCAAAATCATTTGTAATTTGTCTTTAAATATCCTGGTATGCTCAAACCGTTTAAATTTCATCCGAAGGTAGTTGTGAGGCTTTCTGGGTTTCTTTTCCATGAGTAACCAATTACATTGTGAAATAACTTTAAATGATATGTTTCTTTACTATCTCAACCTTGTATCTTTCCAAAAAAAAAAAAAAAAAAAACTATTTCAACCTTGTAATCTTGTTTTGCAAAGATTCAATTTTGATACTTTATTTAAGTCCAGTGCAGTAAACTGTCCAGAGAATCCTATCTCAATGTACCGTCAAATTTTCTTTCATCTTTTGACTAAATATCCAACTTAGCATTCTTGTAATTTTTCGTCCATTGAGAACACTCTCTTCAAATTTTTTTCTTTTTTTAAATAAGAACATTCCCTTCAATAGCCTATGGTATGATCAAAAGCCTTGGATTGAGTTATGGGTCCTTGTAAATTAGGACCAGAGAGATAAGAACCAGAAAGTTTTCTGGTTTTTCCTTCATCTTGATTGAATGGGCTTTATTGAGAGAGAAACCAAAGATCTGGAAAAGTTTAAAATATTCAAGAAACTTATGAATTATTTTTCGGCATCCTCTTTATTATCTGAATAGATGGCCTTTTATGTCCTACGTTTTAGGAGCAGTTAACTGCTGATAAGATCTTAATTACCCTATAAGAATAGCAGATCCAGAATTACAAATTCAAACGTAAAAGTACCTCCTGTATATCCATCCTAAAACTGCCCAATGACATTGGACATAGGAACCAAATCAAACATAAAATAAAAGTTGAATATAAACTCAGGACTTAGCTAGAAAACTAATCCTGCTTCTGCTTTGTCCCATGCGTGAATCTACTATAAACTTTACCCACGAATGGACTGTCTACCCTATCTGGACATCTTTCACAACTTACTTCATTAAGTCAACTTTTCTAATTAGTCTATTTATTGGTGTACTTTCATCTTTTGAGAAGTGTATTCATTTTATCTTATCTTTTACTTGTATTAAAACACTTTCAATCTTTTGTAGATTTAAAGAATAATTATTATTAGTAAGAACCAAAAAATTGCAAACCCATAGTACTGCTCTTTTTCTGTATGTGTTGTGTTTCATGGAGGCTGGCTCCCATAACAATCTATGCACTGGGTGGCTTGAAGACTTTTTCTAGGCTCTTTGGAACTTTTGGCATCAGGCTAGTTGCAACCTTTTCCCCAAGTGCTTCCTGTCTATTCCCCTGGGGAGAGTTCTGGTGAAGAAGGAAACTAAGGTGCTTCAGAGGAGAACTCTCTTTGTTGATTTGTGGGTGCTGTGGCTGGAGTGCAAATGCTAGACTTTTAAATGATTATCACTTTCCTTCATTTACCCTCTGTGACAATTTGGTTTTATTTGCCTATTTTGAGCTAAGGTTCATGAGTTTTCTAGGGATGTCTCTTTGGCTACTTTGCAGAGAGATTGAGATGTGGTGTTATTTTGGTTTTATGTGATTCTTTCCTGTTTTCTTCTTTTTGTTAGCTTAGGAGGATTTCTTATCCCGTGCATTTATACTTTTCACTCATCGTTTGATGATTTTATTTTCATAACAAAGATTATAAACCAAAGGAGGATAAGCTATGCTCCAAAAGAAAAGAAACAAATAAAAACCATATCAATATAGAATAGCATCCCAATCCCTTCACAGTACAGAAGGAAAGATCTTCTTGAAGAAACCATGGGATGAGCCCAAGAGAAGCAAAAAATAAAAAGAAAACTATCTCCTTATAAATGTCATCAAAAAACATATTCGACTTAGAACATTATATCTCTCAGCAAAGGAAAAAAGAAGAAGAGGAAATTTTTTTTCAAGTTTTAGGCTGCAGCTTAGAATCAGAATGCATAGTAAACTATTTTGGTTTATTAATTTCGCAATGGCATTTTCGATTTCAGTTTTAATGTTATGGGCTTGAGCCTCCTTCTCTCTATCCCTACCTCTCTCTTTCTATATATAAATATATATTACTATTTTTTTATATTACTATAACTATAAATCTATAACATGTTTGTATATCATGTTCCTACTTGATCAAATAAACAGGCATACGAGAAATGTTTTCAAAATCTTCACTACGTGGAGCGTCATGAAGAACATACAATTGCACACGCTGTGCAAACTTCATATAAGAAAACTAAGGTTCTTATCCTTCTCGATGACTTTTTCAAGCCTCATGTTAATATATTCTTAGAAAAAAGAAAATATTTACATCCCAAAATTTCTCTCTTGTTTTGACATGGTATATAATCTGTGATAGGTGTATCTCTGGCCTGCTCCTACTCGAACAGGTATGAAAGCAGGAAGAACTGTTGAAAACATTTTGTATTTAGCCGGTTTCAAGAATGTCAAATCCAAGGTGAATATGCTGCTTAAACTGATTGGAACCAATACTGTTCTTTACTGCTTGTTTATAAAATATTAGCTTTGATATAACCTCTTATCTTGTTGTTAGGTGGTTGGCTCAAGGAATCCTCATAACACAGTTAAAGCCGTTTTAAAAGCTCTGAATGCTGTAAGTAACCCGAAATCTCTTATCAGAGGCATGTTTCAGTACTCGACTGGTCAACATCTATTTAACTGCTTTGATTCTGCATTTTCCAGATTGAAACACCGAAAGATGTTCAGGAGAAGTTTGGCCGGACTGTCGTTGAGAAGTACTTGCTTTGATTGGGTATTTCACGTGCTCATTAGCAATTTTTTTCTTTATTCATTTTCTTGGATTTTCACTTCCAAGCAAAAGAAATTATAATCCATCACACTATTTTAGTCTTTTTCTATCATCTGTTATGTGGCATAATATGGTACACGGACAGTACTATTAACACCGGACAAGCGAGGGTTTTTTATGGGCGCTTTCGGGATGATATCCATGTTCTGTTCTTAGAGATGAATGGATGGGAGGTTTTTTAAGATTTTGTAGATTAGAATCCTTGAGTTCCTAGAAAACTTAATTTTGAATAAGTTAATCTTCTGAATTTTCAATCTATACCAGTATGGTGCTTTTTGTATATTACACAACAAGGTTTTATATATTATATGTAGACTATGGAGTGCTCACTTCTTCAGTGTGGATTTCAATGAATATATATGATTTAGATAAGTATTTTCAAGGATGGAATTTACGTTTCACATTCTTAATATACATTAGTTAAATTATATATATATATATATATATATATATACACACAGATAAAAGTATGAGACATTTTGTATATAATTCTCTAATTTTACTCCTTCCACCACCTGATGAGATTCCACCACCTGATGAGAAAGTACCCAATTAAAAGGGGGCATATAACTTTCTTATCATGCATAAATATGTATAGCAGGATTCTATATATATATATATATATATAGATTCCAGTGTAATGAGAGTAGAAGGACTTGAAAGTTTTTGAAAGAAATAGTTGGTCAAGTGTTGTATTAATGGAGGCACAAATCTATCATCGTGTCATTTTATATTATATTACAAGTGCACACACATAAATGTATATATATATATATTACATTATATTATATTATATTAGTAGTGTATGGAGATATGAAGAGATTTAGCAGCATCTACTTTAGTTTTGGAGTGTGTGAACTGAAATTAATGTTGTATGCTTTGTTTATAGGCAAGAGTGGGTAAAGAATTTGTAGGCACCAACCTCTTTCTCACTCTCTCTCTCTCTCTCTCTATATATATATATATATATATATGTATTATATATATTATCCTAAAGGTAACTTTTGGGTTAATCATTATGCATTAACCCTAATGCCTTTCTATTATTTGTTCTTAAATTTAACATGTGTTTTATTTATTTTTCTTATAAATTAGTGAGTAATTAACAAAGATGACAAGAAATGACTGCAGGGTCTGAAAATTTAAAAATATTATTTTTAATATTTGTATTAAAAAAATATTTTTTGACTTAAATATTCTCATAAATGAATACATATATACACAAACACATATAAATTCAAAAAATATTTTCATTTATTAAACAAAACCTAAATTTCATCAAATTGATGCTTAATTCTAGAATATCATTTGCTCATCAAATATCCTTAAAGAACATAAATATACATATACATATACACATATGTACAAATATTTACACTCAATTGTTAAAAACGATTTCTCCCAAAATAATTTAGTGACTGAATCGATAGTCCCAGAACTTATAAGTTTGTGTGTGTGTGTGTGTGTGTGTGTGTGTGTATGCATATATATATATATATATATGGTGTTAACCTGGGGTTGAGGGGCATATAGTTGTATCATTATTATATACTTGTAGCAGTAATAATATACCAGGTGGAGAGACTTGGTCCTCTCCACATGTGTCTATATATATATATATACACACATAACTATACCAGTTTATATATATCAAAACAAAAGTAGAGAGAGAGAGAGAGAGAGAGAGAGAGATGAGTATGATGATGAGAGGAGAAGTGATTCTGAACATCCCAGCTGAGAAAGCATGGGAAATGTACAGAAACGATGAAATCATCTCCAAAATTAACCCTCAAATGCTTTCTGCTGCTTATTATCTTCATGGAGATGGCGCCCCTGGCAGTCTTCGACTTTTCAAGCTTGGCCCTGGTCCGTATATATACATACATATACATACATCTTCCCTTTCTCCCTCTTCTTAATTTTCATCTCTTATTCATGATCATACACACACACATATATATACACACACACACACACACATATAGAGCTATGTGATTATGAATTTACTAGGATCGATTACTAGGGCATACACACACACACACACACATATATATATACACTATACACTCCTGTAATCAATTTCTGCAAAGAGAATTCATTTCTTGACATCTATATATATATATATCACACCTTTTCGTGCCTGAGTTATACACATGATCACATATATATTCTTTATAATTTAAATTAATTACATGTAAGATTAATAAATATTGAATGTAAATCTCATTTCATATATATATATATATATATACATTTAAATATGCTGCTCGCAAATAAATTAGAGAAACATATGTATTTGTCTCACGTGAAAAAGTGGTGTGATGATTACATCATGCATGGGTTGGCTCAAACGGTGATTTATGTATTCTTTTTATTATTCAATATTTTATTTATTTATATTAAAATTTTCCAATACATATTCTTATATATATATATATATATATATATATATATATATATATAACGCATATATATAGTGTCCAATTATTGGGAGTCTCACTAGATATTTTAACCCTGTTTTGTTTGTTACTTATACATATATATTTTTTTATTATATTTTTATCATCAGCCCTTATTATATTTAAAAAATAAATAAATAATATTTATATCATTACTTCGTTGAAATAACACCAACTTACTCACTATCCAACCAATTGATTAATAACACAATATTGAATTAATATTATAAATTATTCACAACATATTTAAATAATAA